TTTGTGTACAGCAGTGATGGTCAATATGACACATGTGTGGCAATAATGTTTAATGTGAAACAAGGGATAACTCTCTTGATCTTAAAAGCCCTGCACATCCATCACCCACCCACACAGGTGTTTTCAATTTTCTGCTTAATTAGATCTGTGTGTGCAGACTCAGCTGATCGACTTCTTCCTCACTCTCTTTTTATTGCACCTGTTGGAGGGAAATAATGTACCTTTATATATTTTAATAATGCATGGACTCTTGTGATTTGATGTAATTTCCATCATCGCCCCAACCACCTCCAACTTGACCGGAGATGTAATTAGTAGTAATGAAACAGCTGTGTGTGTGTGTGTGTGTGTGTGTGTGTGTGTGTGTGTGTGTGTGTGTGTGTGTGTGTGTGTGTGTGTGTGTGTGTGTGTGTGTGTGTGTGTGTGTGTGTGTGTGTGTGTGTGTGTGTGTGTGTGTGTGTGTGTGTGTGTGCAGAATCTTTCAAAGACATTCTGGGATATATACTTATTCACTATCTTGACGCTAGTTTGATAACAATGTCATGTCTGTCTGTTAAATAAAGCATAATGGCAAACCACTGTACTTATTAACAGGTTGTATCTTATTTGTCTATTTTGAACAAAACATTTGAGTGAAGTTAAGATGTAGAGCCAGGCTATAATGACATAATAATATTAACTAAATGTAATTACAATGATAAAAGCAAGTACAGAATAAAGGAAATAACGCAACACAATAAATCATATTACGCAGAAAAGGCCAAACATAACAAAGAAACACATGAAAAGGCATCTAAAAATCTATCTGTTTCCGTGCTTACAATATTTTTGCTTGCTAAGCTAACTGTTTTCTGACTGTAGCTTCATATTTAAAGGACATATATGACACTGGTATCAATCAGTACGTTACAGATCCGTTCACTTAAGGTACAGTATTAGATAGTAGACTTAAAAACGCCTTGCAACATCATCAATTATACTGTTATGACCTCCTCCATGTGGTCTTATCTCAAAGCCTACAATCTCAAAAGCAGGATCCAATTGACACTGGCAATACATATATTACTATTACATTGTAAACACATCTTACATTGCATGTATAATTAATCTCAAATGCACAGATCCATTTTCCAAGCCCATAATGTGCTGGAGAACTGGGCTGAAACCATTGGTAGCCTCAAGTCTAGTTAGTCCAAACTAAAGGGCAACCACTGTGCTCTGATGTGCTAGATGGTATAAACTGAATATTAATGCAGCGGTCTAGTAGTATCATCCTTAGGGAGTGAAGCTCTAAGAACTGGGTCTGAATCTGACCTGAATGTCTCTCTCTCTCTTCCTCTGTCTTCCATAATTCATGTTCCATGTGTATTGGCTGGTGGTGAATATTTTTATATACAGACAAACGAGCGTGGACAGAGCCACAGGGCAGGTGTGTGACATGCAGTAAACCTGTGTGTAGGTAGTGTGTATTTCATTTTTAGCCCCGTAAGAGCCCGCTGCGCGATGATGACGGAGTGTGTTTGAGTCTGTAGGCAGCAGCACATGTCGGTCTGTTACGGGTGACAGCAGATGACACTGATAAGTGACAGACGATGTGGAAGATATCCAGAGATACTATTAAGAGCTGTGTGCGGGATCTGCCTTTACAGTAAAGCAAAGGATCAGCTGCCAAATGTGTTGCCAGAGGTGAAACATGATGTTCATATCATTCTTCACCACAGGATCTTGCAATAGCTTCTTGAAGGGAAAAGGTCCCCAAAAGTTGTTTAGTCAAGGTTTATTTTGATATGCATGCATTGTTATACCCCTCAAATGCAGAGGCGGGTTTAGGAATGAGGAGCTATTTGACTAAATCCTGGTGTTTTCCTAGGTCACATATATAAAATCACAAGGCGACAAGCAATATAAATGCAGAAATGTCTAAATGTAGGACTCTTGATTGAAGCAACCAGCACCAACAAAGACGTGCAAATTGCAAAATGCTTTGTAGCAAAGGGGTTTGTGTACTCTGAGTATAATTCATGAATTATGCCGAAACTAAGCGGATGAGGAAGAATTGATTGCCAGGCGGTGTGAGATGTCTAAAAATCATTCCATACTGTCAGCGCGTATTCTCCACACTGTAACAATCAATCAAGGCTCAGATCTCAATTGCCATGACCCTTGTGTGTGTGCAAACGAGTATATATGTGTGTCACCATTTACATGTATGTAGATTGACTGTGACAGACGTGACATTAATGAGTGAGCCAAAGGAAGGTCCATACCATTCACACACTGTAATTACTCAGTCACATAATGATTATAAGACAAGGAGGAGTAACATCGGCATTCAGATGCAGCACATCCAGCAAAAAGCTAAAGCATGTGTGTGGCTTGTTATGCATACGCTATATGGCATATTAATCATGAGAGGTGACAGCAATGTGCAAGAGAGAGAACATAGGAAAGGCAGCTGGGTGTGAGAAAAGACAGAGAGGAGTATCAGAAGTGAAGCAGTCTGGTGTTGCAAACTCACAGTGTTATTAGAGCTGACACAGAGACAGAAGCAATGAAAGTGAGGGAGACAGAGGTTGTGAGAGGGGGGATTAGAGAGATGGAGTGAGAGAAAAAGCTGGAGAAAGGAAGGCGAGTGAGCGTGAATGAAGCAGAGGGGCGAGAGGAAAAGAGAGACAGAGAATGAAACAGATCTTTCCCTCCCATAGGGCTTGTCTTTTCTTGTAACAATAGCAGAAATAAATGAATGCAAAGGCTTTCGAAGAGTTATGTTCTAGTATTTTCACAAATAAATAATTATTTACACATGTGTACACTCTGTAGATATCATTTAGATGATGCTGTTGCCTGATAGAAAGAATGATAGTTGTGTTTAAAAATAAATACAAAATCCACAAAGTCTTACAAGCTGTTAAAGAATAAATATGATACACCAGGCAATACACATCTAATGTTGTCATGCCTTTTCCATTATAAGACAAAACAGTATTAATGTCCAGTGCAAATGTTTGGGAATAGCCTCTACACCCCTCATGCAGCCGGATAGACATGCACCATCTGGGCTGCTCCTATCTCCAGCAGAGAGAAAACTCACCTCAACGACCTGGAGAAAAGATCCGAGCGGAGTCGAACAACTTCACCGCCGTTCACTTGACAATCACGGATGCCTCGCCGTCTCCGGACCCATCTCCCTCTCTCTCACTCTGTGTCGATATGTTTTCCTCAGTCCCCCTACACTGCAGAGCTCGGCCGGTTTGGTGCTGACAGCGTAACAGCTCTGCTTTCTAATTCCCACAGGACGAGCTCGGGGAGGATGCGCTCCGTGCGCTTGGGTTTACTCTGGGTGAGAGATGGGGAGGAGGAGGAGGACGGTGCGCCACTTAACTAGAGTTTGTAATCCTCTGGCTCCATCAGGGGCCGCAGAGAGCGCACAGTACCCGGGGACCAGCGGCCACCGAGCGCAGTGCATCAGCACCATCTCGTGGCTGAAACAGGGAACTGACTTGAATAAAACTGATTTTCCGGTTCTCAGCTTCTATTGGCTGCGATATGCTTCAGCGGTTTTATAATAAGCGATGACCGCACACCTGATACCACTTTGTGCTTAATTTAAAGTTCACGCTGTGCCCACCAGATTCATTGGTTCGGAATCATTCAAACAGAGTATGAGGAGATGTTGCTCCTGGAATACTCAGGATATTAAATGTGCTCGGACTATATGGCTCTCTTTATTTTGAAATGTTTTTAATCTATATTATTGGTGTTATCTTTTATACTTTGTTGTAGTCTCCAATTGGTAGTTTATGGTTTCCTCTTTATGAGACATCTGTGAAACCTAACATGAATTGCACAAGCTGTATCAAAGGTGCTTATACAAATGCATTCAGATGTTTTTATTTGTGCTGAACTGCCCTGACTTTTACTCAAAATTAAATGAGTGTTTTTTTGTGTGTAGCCTATGTTCATTTATGTTAGGCTGCATTACTTATGATTCCCCTATTTCTCTTGTGTCTTCATATTTTGTATATTATCTAACCTGTTGTAAAATCACTGCTGCTGTAAATCTAATTTTCAAATAGTAAACTTAAAGTGCATCCAATATGGTATTACAGCTTTATCTCTATAATTTAGGTTTAGGCCGGGTGCCATAGTCTATTAAACATAAATCAACAAATCAAAGCATTGGTTTATGAGGCAACAGTTTTTAAGAGGATATTTGGTCTGAAAGGGATTTGTGTTGCTCTTCTGAAAGCCCTGATAATTCATTCTGATGAATCGGCAGGGACAACAAGCTTATGCATAGCCTATTTGTCATACGCCTGGGCTGCATACTGGTCTCATTATTTATGCATAAGTCCCAGTTTAGACAAACACAATCCAGTGGCCAAGAATGTTAATGAAGAAATAAAACATATTTACACAGGTGGAAAATACCCAGATCTTATCGGTAATAGTAAATCCTGAGTGTAGGAATACTCTGTTACAAGTAAAAGTCCTGCAATCAAAATGTTATTCAAGTTAAAGTAGAAAAGTATTGCCATCATCAAACTCATTGTGCAGATTTGCCAATTTCAGAATAATATAATATGTTTTGGTTACAAATACTGATGCATTAAAGGGTTATGAAAGCTGATAAAGGTGCAGCTAATGTTGTATTACTTCGTATGATGCAGGGTAGCTTGTTAATTTTAACTAAAGTATGATTTCAGTCATTATTATTTCACATCATTAATCCAAATCTGCAAAGTAACTAAAGGTATTACATACATGTAGTAAAGGTACAAAATTGTACCTCTGATTTGTAATGGAGTAGAAGTACAAAGTAGCAAAAAAGTACCTCAAAATTGTACTTACAGAACTTGAGCAGAGCCATTATAAAGAGTAGGCTACTATTACTTGAGTAAATGTAGACGACTTAGTTACTTTACACCACTCAATTTTTAGCCTATCACTGATTTATTTATTTATGTCTTGTATAATATTTAGTTATACTCTTCCCTGAACTTAAATTTCTGTGGATGGTCGGTCCAGATCTGTGCCTGCGGATGAGATCATGCCTGTCTGGGGCAGGGACCCCATCTTTGTGCGCGCGGACCACGCCCTGGCCCCGGCGTGCGGAGGGTGCACCAGGCTGAGGCTAGTTTAGCACTCAGCTGCTACATCCGGGCGCTCTGCTGCTCGGTTTACAAGCCCTGCGAAGATGGCGACTTCAGGGAGGAGTGCATTATTATCCTCCACATCAACTGGACCTAAAAGCACACTGGATAACTCCAACCAAGAGGAAGATGACGGACAGGACTTATGGTTAGCGATGTGTTTCTTCATTTGGTTCATTATGAGCAGGGTTTGTGGTCGCAGAGGGTCCATTGTGCTCGGATGAGGATGGTTTGACAGCTAGCTTGCTAACGAGGCTAGCTAGCATCAGCACCAGACTGACTGGTGACACAGCAGCACTAGCTCGCTTTCAGTTGTTGTCTGTTAATTAATGTTTCTGTCTGCAGGTCCACAATCCTGAGTGAAGTGTCAACCCATTCAAGATCTAAGCTACCGTCGGGGAGAAATGTCCTGGTCATGGGTGGGTATCTGTCTGCAGTCTCCTGGCTAGCCAATAAGCAACGTTAGCGTGCTGCTCATCTCATTCTGCTAGACTTAATGCTGCTCGGTGGCTAAGCTAGCTTGCTTTGGTTTTGATTGTGCTTTTGTGTTGTGAAAGCCTGGTAGCGGGTGCGTCGGCTAACAGAGAAAGACAGGTGTATTTTTCAGAACGCCTACAATACAAAAGCACGGCCACGGGTGCGCGCATACACACACGCACACACACACACACACACACACACACTGACTCCTTTATTATCTTATAAGCGAGAATCGGGCCGCCTTGAAACCCTGCAAGTCATTCTAGCATTCAAGGATGCTAGTTGCTGCTAGGTGAAGATGATGCTGAGGGACAAGACGCATCGTCAGCCCTGTGTGTGTGTGTGTGTGTGTGTTATTTTTCTTTCTATTATGCTGCTGAAGCAGAAAGGGAGCCTCCCCGTCTCGCTCTGTCCTCGTGTCCCGCTGCTGTCCACACACAAACACACACATCCGCCTGGGATAATCCGCAGCCTGCTACCCATTCAAGCTAATCATCGAGTTGGTTACCGAAGCATCTGTCTGTTTTTATCTTTTACAACATCAGCAAGCCCTGCTTTATGGTGCATTGTGTCCCCTTGACGTATTATGACAAAGTGCAAAAATGGATGCAGCATTGACCTTATTAAATAAACAATAACAATGTCATGCTATCAGTGTTGAGGCTTTCAGTAATGCCACAACAAGTGCAGATACACTCTGTTGTCGATAGTTACTGGCATGCTATGTATTATAAAGCTGCATGGCTCTAGTCAAGTGGATTGTTTACAGTATATTTGTGTTGATTAATGGATTAGGTGATACACAGTAAATAACTACAACTATTTTGCTAATCAAGTAATCACTTAAGCCATTTTTCAAGCAGAATTGCCAAACATTTTCTAATTTTAGCATCTCAAATGTAAGGTTCTGATGTCTTTCTCTGTCCATTGTTATAGTAAACTAAATATCTCTGTTATCTTTGTTAAGTTAAGCATGTGGATCAATTGTTTTTAACATTTTTGCATTTTATTAACCAATGAATGATGACTGAATTAAAGGAGGTTTGGTCAGTTTATGAGTTAATGTGATTAATCTTTAGGTGCAAGTGCAACCCTTCCTTTATTATATAAGTAATTATTTCTTAATAGCTATATTGGCATAATTTCAGCAGGGCATGCTGGCATTGATAGGGCTACTACCCATAACCTGTGTTCTATCAATAATTCTGTTTTCTCTTGACTGATTTTGTTTAGGTGAGGTGGGTTCAGGGAAGACCGCCTTGGTTGCTAAGATGCAGGGGGTTGAAGAATTCATGAAAGGGCGTGGCCTGGAATACCTCTACTTCAGTGTCCATGACGACGACATTGATGGTAACCAGCAGCGGCTTGCAGTTTATACATAGAGCTACACATGTCCATGTTGTCTTGTGTTTATTTTTTTCACACTTCAGGCTACTTCTAAAGTATTTATTTTGATGTGTTTAGACCAAACCAGGTGTAATGCCTGGGTGCTAGACGGCGACCTTTACCACAAAGGTCTGCAGGGAGTAGCTGTGCCAGTGGACTCGATCGACAACACGGTGCTGCTGATAACTGTTGACATGTCGCGGCCTTGGAACGCCCTGGACTCTCTCCAGAAGTGGGCCGCCGTTGCTAGGGAACACATCGACAAACTCCGGGTCGCCCCGGAACTGCTGCGGGAGCTGGAGCAAAGACGTGAGTCATACTGACAGCAGGCAAGGCTGACGAGTAGAAAAAGTTGAAAACATTTTTTTATATGTCTGTTTCTTTCTCTGAAATGTTCTTAGCAGTATAAAAACACAAAGAAGCCTCTTTATTAATGTTTTTTTTAAAGCTTTTCATCTTCAATTTTTTAAAGAAAAGTTATGACAATGATAATGCCAGGTCCTATTATTTGCTTATCGTTGTTTTGGAACATTTTGTTTCTGTGTGTGTGTGTAGTTGTAAAACAGTTCCAGGAGTACACAGAGCCAGGCAGTGGGGACGATGGCACCCCGCAGAGGAGGAGTGAAGACGAGGAGAGTGTGCTGCTGCCCTTAGGAGACAACACACTCACACACAACCTGGGAATACCAGTGGTGGTGGTCTGCACCAAGGTATACACTAACTGACTCGCTTATGTGTGGAATCATATTTTACATTAAAATATAATGACGTAGTTCCTCTGGCTCTGGCTGACTCTACTCCCTTTTGGTACCGGGTCCTTTTTTCTGTTATTTCATTTTCTACGTCAGACACTACCCCCTCAGTGTGGTTGGGATTCTCAGCTGATAGCCACTGCTTGAGGTTCCCGACACTAAATCTTAAATTGCTGAATCAATTAATGGCAACCAAAAACATATGCACGTCAGTTCAAAGATGATTCATGTTGAGTAGTCATGCAGTGGATATTTTAAACCTGTGACAAATAAATGAAATCACTTATATATATATATATATATACATTGCATCTTCTAACACATGTTCACCAGTGCCTGACATCTACTTATCTCTCCCATTAGTGTGATGCCATCAGCACATTGGAGAAGGAGCACGACTACAGAGACGAACACCTGGACTTCATCCAGTCTCACATCCGGCAATTCTGTCTGCAGTGTATCCTTTACTGAACATGGTTTTAACAGTGAGCAAAACAGTGCACACACAATAATGTAAAGTGTCTCAAAACAACATTTTACTTTAAAGGTGGGGTAGGTAAGTTTGAGAAACCGGCTCGAGATACAGTTTTTGTTATATTCCATGGAATGCTCTTAACATCCCGATAGCAATGAATATCTTAAGTGCTTTGACAAAAAATCCATACAACAATGTCATCTGTGGAAGCTGTAGTACTGTAAAAAGCACGACCAATCATTTGAGCTGGCCCAGCTAAAATAACTGGATGGCCTACCTGCCTGTCAGCCTTCCATCTGTGCACAAACTTATCTCGTGCCCTCATTGGTCATGTGCGCGTTTGTGTGTTGGAGGAGGGGCTCTGTAAGGAAGTGGCAGATTTCTTCCGGTTGTGTATTTTCAAATTCTAGCGCACTCGAGCTGGTTTCTCCAAAATTACCTACCCCACCTTTAATGTTCACAAGGTTTTTAGTTGAGCTGTTGATCAATGCCACTTTTCAACATTAGATGCTAGAAATGTAAGGCATTCATTATTCATAAATATTGGTGTTTATTCTCTCTTTATTGATGAAGGATCGAGATATAATGTGACCAGCAAAACACTGTTTGGTTGTCAGGCCAAAGGCAAAGTTCCCATCAGTACCGTTATTGCTGTATTCTTGCCAATGCAAGCTGTGTCTTGACCTTAGCTGTTGATATTGCTTTGTTGCAAAGAGAGTTTCATAAAGGTCTTGAATTACACAGTATTGCTTGAAATAGTCTGTTTTACAAAAACATTTCTCCAGTAAATGTGGAAAAGGTATTAGATTTTCAAGGGTTATTGCGTTAGCTGTCCAAGAGTTTAAACTGCCTTTTTTCTTCTGTGTGCTGGTAGCAATTGGTGAAAGCTGTTTTCTGATTTCGATACTGTTTTAAAAAGGTTTTCTGTCACTATGGCATTAGTTTTATTTTTGCTTCTGTATTTATAATTGGTGGCAATGAAAATATTCTTGACAGCCATGTCAGATGGAGCGTCTCTGGTTTACACATCAGTGAAGGAGATGAAGAACCTGGACATCGTGTACAAATATCTGGTCCACAGACTCTACGGCTTTCCCTTCCACTGCCCGGCACAAGTGGTGGAAAGAGATGCAGTCTTCATGTAAGCCTGCTAATGTGTGTGTGTGTTTGCATTCCTGTTGTGTATTTATTTTTGTAACCCTGGCTTTGCTCTCTCAGTCCATCAGGCTGGGACAATGAGAAGAAGATTGCCATACTTCATGAGAACTTCCAGACAGTAAAAGCAGACGACAACTTTGAGGAAGTAATAGTCAAACCGCCAGTCAGAAAGGTACAGAGTCCTGTAAAAAAAGAAAATGTTTTCTTCGATTCTCTAAGGCAAGCTAAGCTTCCAGCACAGCATGTTTATAAAGGCTGTAATATTATGTCACATTACCTTTACTGCCAATCTTTACCCAATATCCCTGCAAGGATCATAAGACTTTTCTCCCATCTGTTGTAGTACTCTAATGAAGGACTGGAAGCGTGTTTCAGGAATGATTAATTGTTCTCTTGCTTTTCACCAGATTGTACATGAAAAGGAGATTCAGGCTGAAGATGACCAAGTGTTTCTGGTAAAACTGCAGGTCAGTAATTGTTGTTTATATGCCAGTTGGTTTGCTGCTCGATGGTACTCCAAATAAATCTGACTTGAGGGTCCTGATATGTGAATTAAATACTAATTGGAGTGAGTGTGCTCTAATTTGCAGTCGCTGCTCGCCAAACAGCCCGCTGTGACAGCAGGGCGACCAGTGGTAAGTGCTTTATTTAGTTTCTTGTTTTGGCTAATAAGATACAGAAAAGCTCCCTCCAGTATTTAAAAAATACTGTTGTTGTTTATAGGACACGACCAGTCGAGCTCCCACCGGCTCCCCCAGGACGAGTAATCGATCAGCAGCGGCCAACGTAGCGAACGCCATGCCACAGTCGGGTACGTCATGCATTTTAGCGCTGCACACATCAACACCATCAACCCATGACGAAGGTTCAGTTAGTGCATTGCTTGTGTGTGTTTCTAACTCTGGTCCCTTAATGCTGCAGGTCAGACCAGTGAGGGTGTGTTGGCCAACTTCTTCAACAGTCTACTGACAAAGAAAGCGGGGACGGGGGGGCCCGGGACGCCAGGGGGCGGTAACAACACTCCAGGAACAGTACGCAAGTCAGGTGAGAATACAGTTGCTACCATGCTTCAGTTTTATGGATAGAGAATAAGTTCTCCGTTGTTCTTTGGATTTAATGCCGTTTGCAGCTACTCATTACTCGGCTTCTTTTATGGTTTGCAACTCCCATCTGCAATCCTTCATTTTCTCTTAACTCTCCTTTCCTTTCCTCTTCTCCAGACATGAACATAACGCATGGTAAATAAATCATAAAAGGGTCTAAAACCCATCATCTTTATGCCTGCCTGTATTTTGTAGTGTGACTGTATTTTAGTTTTTAACAAAGCTCATAGTCTGTTTTGTAATCTCACTGCTAACATCATTCATAATGTGTGTATGCACTAGTTCTAGTCAGAGGATGCTGGCCGCGTTAAGGTGTGTGTGAGAGATATCGTTTAGCATTGCTTGTCTATGTTGATTCTCAGAAGCATCCCTACATTTCTGTTGTCCCTTTCCCTCCACTGAGCCTGTATTATATGCACTGCAATTACAGTGAAGCTAATCTTGGATCTCTCCTTCGACAATGCACTTTAAATATTTCTAGAACCAAGAAATATGATGCAAGTAAAAGCACAATAAGAAATGTAGGCCCCAAAAGTGCAAGTTGAAATATAAGGCTAAGATATAGACATGGTTAAAGTTACAGACATTTCTGGTAGACAGTATTTAAAATGGATGAACTGAATGTAATCATACCAGGATCATTTTTGATTGACTGCTGAAGATTTAACCAAGATTGCACCCCTAATGTTACCCCTCCTCATACTTCTATTTCTTTTTTGCATGTTGCATTGCATTTCCCGTGACTAATATCTGCCACAAACATTGCACATGATTATAGCTGAGACTCTGATGTACTGACAATTGATACTTAATACCTTATATGGCCAATACTCAACATATTTGCCATATATTAAATGTTTAAACTGGATACCGATTATCTAATCATTTTCTGTTAAGTTACTACAATAAACCTGGACTGTTTGATCATACTTTAAACACTGTTCGAATTACAATTTATAAACATTTACAAAAACAAATGCGAAAACGGGGCAATTCGATCTTAATTTACTTTATTATAATATGTCTCTGTATGTTAACTAACTCAAGAGCACATTGCCAAAACCAGACCAGTCTACTGAATTACTGTGAAACATAACCGTATTAACCCCGTTCAAATAACCCTAATTATACTATCCTGAATGACTTTTCCTATTATCTAATTTCCCCCAGCTCTTATTTCAATCCCGTTGAATTGCCTTGTTGCTTATTGCATTGTATAAAATGGTTGTGGTTAATGATATGATACTATAATGTTATGGTATTGATTGGTATTCACCCACACCTGTTGCAGGTTCGAAGCTGGGCCTGAGCGATGTACAGGCAGAGCTGGACCGCATATCCAGCCGGGAGAATGACTCTGACATGCCCAATGCCAACGACACCCCTGCCACCGACGGCCAGGACACATGAAGGCCAACACACTAAACCCTGCGCCCCCCCACCCCCCACAACCACCAACCCCCTTTCCATCTCAGTCACCTTCCTTGTCCTTCCTCCCTCTACTCCATCCCAAAGATGCAGGAAGAAAAGAGGGATGTTGGCACACAGTTTTCCATCCCCATCATCTTTCAAATTCTCCTCAAGAAGAAGAACCCATCCTCTCTTCCCTTACCCGTTCTCCCACACCTTGTTCCCCTCCCCCACCTCTCTCTCTTCTACTCCTGGCTGTTGCGCAGAGGGCGAGTATTTGTCACTGTTACATACAAGACTGTCTGTTACATGAGAGTAATTGGGTAAGGGGGCCAATGTGGATGCGGAGGTTGGGATGAGAAGGAGTAAGTGGTTTTTGAAAAAGATTGATAAGAGGAATGAAAGCGAGGGTGTTTTATCCATCCATTTCTTGTGATGGTGGTACAGTCGGTGTTTTTACTGTAGGAACTGCTGAGGGTGCATGTTGAAGAAACATCACTTAGAGTACTATAGGAATGATTGTGTGTTTAATGTATTTGGGGCAAGTCATGCTTGGCCAGAAGAAGAGATTGAGAACTATGAAATGCCTGAAACAAAATGACAAACAGTTGTTTTTTAAGATGAAGGGACAAACATACCAGTATTTGTGTGCGAGTGTGTGTGTGTATGTATGTATGTGAAAGAATGACACAGATGGATAGACTTGAGGAAGTTACCTAAACCTAGACCTGTATGTTGAGAGATTTTGGGCTGTTTGCATTTCAACCAAAAGGCAAAAACATTACTATGCTCTTACACTAAGCTCTTAAAACAGTGCATACACTATTATTACAGAGGCGCTGTCTGATAGACTACACAAACATGACAAACAATAAACTTCATGATAAAAGTTGAGACTCAAGCATTAGTCCTGTGTAGGGTGCACCTAATTGCACGGCACCCTGTTCTAACATTGGCCAAGCTTCCCCTTGTGGTAGATTCTGCCCAAACCTGTAGATAACAGACAGTGCACTGAAAAGGGAGGGTGGTAGAGGTTAGGTGGGTGGGTAGCTAAGCTTTACCTGTACAGAAAAAAAGCACTAGTGATTCAGTTTATTAGTTACTTTGGGCGGGTTGGTGGGTGGGCAAGGGGGTTAGAACAAAGGAGGGTCACACCAAGAATGTACAGTCATTGTCTCGCTGATTGGTCCTGTTATTTCAGAGCTCTGTGTTGGCGTTTGTATAATCAGATCTGTTAATCAGTCAAATAAAAGGTGTATTTATTCGGATTCATCCAAATGGCTTCTCTTTGCTTTTGTTTTGATGAAATATGTTTTATTTTACAACAGCGAGGCAGTCATTCTTTTTACCAGTCATTCCTCTGCTTGTCAGTCAAAAATAAAAAATAGTTATTCTGTGATGGGGAATTAATAAAAACAACATTTCAACTTACAGTAGATACCTGGGGTTGAGCCACAAGGTGAAGTGACCTTGTGCATACTCTACATTTTCTTGTTTGGTTTACAGTGCTCTTCCTCAGTCACAAAAACAAAGGGCAATAAAGGACAGCGGGGCACAAAGTAACAGAAACACCTTAAAATGCAGTTGATCTTCATATAGCTCCTCCTGTGTTTCTTATTAATTTAAATAAATTGCCATTATTAAGGCTATTTTTATTGATGGGGCCTATTACAAGCCTCGAAGATAACTTAAATGTATGAGCCTCAGCACACCAAGGTATTGACTGTGGGGTTTCTGCATTGTAAGTGGTTCCTGTTATTTTGTCCAACCTGTGTAGGCACTATGGCTACTGTTGTTCAGCATATTCTGATCTCTAACCTCTATAGGGGGGACTAATTTTTGTGCACTATTTATTTAAAATATATTCAGACAATTCTCCAGTGTCTTGTGTCCAAACAGTTTCTCCTGATATCTCCGTATAATATTGTTTATGGGCAGCTCGTTTTAATGTGTTATCCTGTACGCCTTTTTGTGGGCACTGCAGATGAATACACTTCAGAAAATTATAATTTCATGACTGGAATGATATAAGCGTATATACCTAATATGCACTTGCATGACTTAATGCAAGTAGTAAGACCCACTCATTTAGCCAAATAAATGAAAATGTTTAAGGAAGGATTTTTTTTCATTTAGGCAGTGTATATATATATTAAACTTCCATTGGCATTAGAGTCTATCTAATTACTGTTCTTACTATCATTCATACTCCTTGAAGAAATGCAATGCATTTGTATAGCCTTAACATTTCTGTCACTGTTTGAGAGATGATAAGAACATATTTCAACTGATTGTTGTGGTATAACAAATGAAAGTAAGTTTCCTTTATATATAATGTATTTTATTCACAACAATATATTTCCCTATGACACTGGACTTTGACCTTTTCTGTTCCATGGCATGAGTCAGACACATGAACATGCACTCCACTATTTGTGACATTCTTGAATGTTTTCTTTCAATATCAAGACATTTCCTTTTCATACAGCAATTCTAAGTGTGTGTATTTAATGCTAAGAAGCTGAGGTAGATGAACAACACTATACATTTAAGAGAATCCTAAATATCAGACTATCGCTACATGGGCATTGCAATTTGATATCAGCTAGTTGTTAAATAATTGCCTAAAACAGAGATGCACACATTTTAATTAATATCAAGAATAAGCATATATCTTACCATAAAAAATAGCGTAGTTTTACTTTGCACTTTTAATCAGTTGGTGATGACTTAAACTCAGTTTGTTGTACAGTTCATGTCAACAAAAAACAGTGGAGATAAGAGATCAAATGTCAATTACCCTACAGCACAGTATTATCTTACTGTGGCCATGTTTTTTTCTTATCAATGGGTTGATGTGTTGGTTATATACAGGGTTGGGAGGGTTACTTTGTAAATGTAATCAGTTACTGATTACTGAATACATGGCTCTGAAAGTAATCCGAATACAGTTACAGTTACGTGTCTTAAAAAAGTAACGTAATCAGATTACTTTTAGATTACTTTTGGATTACTTTCTTTTTCCATCACAGATGGATGTTTTGGTGAACAGGAGACACAAAAAGCAAAAGGACACTGAATGTGTTTTTACTGTTTTAATGGCTTATCAAGAGTGAACTGAAACATAACATCTGAAACGATGTAACAACATAATTAACTTTTTGGGGATGCAGCTTGGGATGTGAGGAGTGAGGGACACGGCTTAGAACGAGCGTGTCGCCTTCTGTCCTGCCAGTGTTGGCAGGACATGAATTAAAATGTCAAACTCGGACTTCATTTTAAGGACATTACGGCCAGGGGTGTAGAGCTATATTTGTTTAAGCACCGGATTGGCAAAACAGGAGAGTGTGTGCACCAGTCTGCCTTGATCTATGCATTCATGTCCGTGACACTAACAGTATCTGCTGCCCACAGCTGTTTTATAGAAGGAACACCTCCTTCACTTCATGAAATCTCTGCAGCGCCAGGAGGCAGCCTCCGAGAAGAGGAGCGCGCAGTGCCTTTCACGCACCGCCTTCACTGTGTTTACCTTCAGAAATAATCATTAGTAAGGCTAAAGAAAGAGCGACCGCAGGCTGATGTGTTTTAACCACACACACGCGATTTAAACGCAGACTTTTGTTCCTCCATGTTTCGCTGTTATTGTTTCACTGAGCGGACCCGCGATTTTTTTTCAAACGCTTTTTTGGTCCATCTGCGGCGGTAATAGGTTTTGTGGGCTTTGATGATTCGGCTGTACCTTTAGTAATGAATATTAAATGTTGTGAGGAAATCTTTCCACCAATAATTCCAATAAGTAATCCAAAATGTATTCACTTCAGGTTTACGAAAGTAACTGTAATCAGATTACTCGTTTTTCAAATGTAACGCGAGCTGAATACAGTTACTTGATTTTTGTATTCTGATTACGTAACGCCGTTACATGTATTCCGTTACAACCCAACCCTGGTTATATATGATCATATTATGGGTTTCAATAGAAAACTCAAATCCAATCATGACATGGTACATATTTCAGCTTCCTTTTAACCACTGCAGTTTCTTAAATGCAAAAAAAATTCCAGGTGCAAGTATGAGAAACGTGATGTGTGACAATCACATTTAATGTTTGCAAAACTATAGGTTATTTAATTGGAAAAATGTGTGCTATAGTGCTGTGACGGTTTACTCCCTCAGCCTCTATCGTATCACAGCAGCTCATGAATCACATTCCATTCTAATGAATGCTCCTCGTCCTCACCGCCACTACACTAACACATATTTCATTTACCTGAATGAAATCGATCAAATAGGAAAAAATAGGTATTCTCTTAACAAAACAAATATCAATATCTGTCAACGGCTGTTCAATAACAGTTTATTTAGCTAAAACTTTGTTTAAAAGGGCGCCCTATTTTTCCGAGTGCGGCAGAATATTTTTTTCCTCGCCATCTTGATGCTCGATCGCACAGGCGGAAGCAACATCTTCAGCGGAGCAACGGCGGGTGTGGTTCGGACTTCTACGGGTGGTTCACCTAGCAGCCCTTTTCCTATTTCCAGCCAAGAGAAAATACAACATTTTCCCCAACAGAACCACGGAGAACCTCTCGACTCTGGTAATGGTAGTACGTTTACTGCAGCTATTATAATATAATGGATGTACATCGCGGCAATGTTTGTTCACCAAAGAAAACCATCGTTGAACAGGGAGGGGGCTCCGGTGGGGTTTTCTGATTTGGCTGGCAGCACCGCAGGTTTTGTACGGTGGCGCTTGGATCTACTTTTCATACGTCCTGGCTAGCTAAGCTAATCAAACCAGAATAAAACACTGGGTTGGCTTGAAAGTCACGATTCAAATGATGAGCCGACTTGTAACGAAAACTACTTAAAATACTACTGGTTGAGTCTCAGGATCAGACTGAACAATTTAGGCTTTGTAAGTAAGGACCTTAACTGTGTTTGTTTATGTTAGCTAGTTGGCTAACTAGCGAAGCAGTAAGCTACGCACGTTAAGGGAGCTAAACGAGCTATCAAGGTAAGCTAGGCAACCTGTTAGCTAGGAATGGTGGTTAATACATGCTAGCACCTCGGTCTTAAGTTATATGCCCTTAAAATATTATTAGTGCATCCTGTACAGTTTGATGGGCTTATTTGTTTTGGGTAGTTTGTTATGCTCCTAGTTACACTCTGCACGAGAGGAGGAGTCATGGAAGTGATTGCGGGGCGGAGGGGTAGTTTCTCTCATTGGAAACCCAAGCTGCGAGGTCGGAACTTGGCCGTGGTAGGGGGAGGGGGAGAAATATGCCTTTGATGTTCTTTGCCGCTGAATGGTGAATTGTGTTCGTGCTGGCCTGGAAATACCCACTGCTTTGCTCTCTCGGCTGGAGGTGGAGGCTCGGCATTTCCCTTCCTAGCTACGTTAGCAGGGCAAACAAGCGTCTGAATCACAGGGAGCTGGTACAGGTAGCGCAGAAGACAGTGGTTTTACTCTTGAGACCACGTAAGAGAAACGCAAAAAACATTGGAGTTGGCTTTAGCAAACAGAAACTCAAGTTTGTTTGCGAGTTTTCTCATTTTGCCCTGTGTACTTTTTTCCTTTACGCAGACTTATCTGCTGTGCGGGCTGAGTGCAGGCAAGAACAATGGCTACCCAGTGTAAGTATAAAAACACTTTATTTCCTTAAGTACATAATGTGAACACTGCTCTTGATGTGTAGATAGGTTGTTTTGTTACTGTACATAAATGCATGAATTACCTTGGAAGTCACTCACCGTAAGCTAGGTGAGCACATGTCCCAGTATCCTGAGTTATTATAACTCGTCCTTTGTTACATCTGAGTTTCTTGTCTGGAAAAGTGTGGCCGGGGGATTGAAAGAGGAATTTGATGTTAACACTTCTCCTTGTATGCTTATTACACAAGGGCACCAGGCATAGAGAAGCTAAAGCTTTTTCTCTGCTTGTTGTTTTTTCCCCATTTTGCCTCAACAGGATTCAAACTTTTTGGGCCCCACTCACTTTGTCCCTCTTTATTCTCATGGCAATTTAACTTTTTTAATTCCCATATCTCACCTCTGCATTTACTTAAGACTACACGTTTTGTAATTTATAAGATTACTAAAACCTTTTCAAGAACAATTATGTTTAGCTCAAACCTAAATAAACTAATTAAAAGTGTTAGAAAGTTAAGATAATTCTTCCCCTAATCTGTAATTCCCTATGTTCCCCATTTTGTGTAGCTGATTTGATGGAGTTGGACATGGCAATGGGAGACAGCAAGGCTGCAGTGAGCCAGTGGCAG